GCTGATGGTTTTCATCCCAGAGCCCAGCGCCAGGCTGCTTGTGTTCCAAGCCTGTGACAACCCACAGTTGCTGTGTGCCCAGCACAGTTGGAATTATTGCACCAACCCTGAGCACAACCCTCATTTTATGGGAGAGGACAAGGAAGCTGGGAGACAGGAGGCCACACAGTGAGGAGGAGGCAAAGCCAGGATCTGAACCCACGCCCCTGACCCCTGTGTTCTTCCTGGACAACCTTGGTGGGGACACCCCTAGGTCCGTAAAGAAAGGCCTCATCTCTAAGTCTTCCCTTCCTGGGATGCAGGAAGGCCGCGGCTGGAGACAGCTGGGACGTGATGCGGCTTCCAGACTGATGAGCAGAGTTATCGGATCTTCACGGCGCTAATAACCGTCCCAGCACATGGAGCAGGCCCAGAAGATGGATGGTGTCTCCGGCCTCCCTACCACACCCAGTCCTGTCTCCGACCTTCCTTGGGGAATGTGACCCTTGAGAGGAGGCCAGCTCTGGCTCCTCCGTCAGATCTGCAGAGGGCATGTTGGGGCCAGGGCACACCGACCTCAGCCAAGCATCCTCCCCATGGTGTAGTGGAGGACACTGAATCCAGGCTAAATTGGAAGGGTTCTCACCTGAGGATGAGAACCAGCTCAGAGTCAGCTTCATTCACAGCAGTCAACCTAGGGCCTCGCATTTAAATAAAACAGCAGCAATGAGAAAAATCTACTGATAGCAAAGACCTTGACCATAAACTCCGACACTTGGTGCCTTGTGTGATCATCGGGCAACCTTGTGCTGTTGGCGCTGTTCCCATTTTACAGATGTGAAAGCTGAGGCTCAGCTCCATAAGTAATTTGCTCGAGGACACAAGATTGCAAGAAGTGGGGACTGCATTTGAACCCACCCCAGCTGAGCCCAGGCCCTTGTGTTTTCATTTTCCATACAAGCTGCTTCTCTCCTAGTGGGTTGATCTCTACTGACCTCTTTGACCTTGAACTCTGTGCTAAAAGTGGAGCTCGGTGTGTACATGGTGGGGTGAATACAGTTGGCCCTCCATATTCACAGGCTACAGATTCAGAATCCATCTACAGATTCAACCCTCCTCAGACCAAAAGTATTTGGGAAAGAAAAAAATTCCAGAAAGTTCCAAAAGGCCAAACTTGAGTTTGCCAAGTGCTGGCAACTATTTACATAGCCTTTACATCGTCTTTACAATGATTTTCACTGCGTGTACATTGTATTAGGTATTATAAGTGACCTCGAGATGATTTAAGTGGACAGTGGGGTATGCACAGGTTATATGCAAACACTACGCTGTTTTATATAAGGCTCTTGAGCACCCGGGGATTTTTGTATCTGCAGGGGTCCTGGAACCAAGGCCCCGAGGGTACTGAGGGCTCACTGTACTTCTAGTTAAAAATAATATGGTTTGTGACCACCCACTGAGCACTCACCCTGAGCCTGGCATTACCAGCGTGATCTGAGTCTGAGAGCCAAGTCTCACTGTCCCCAAATTGCAGGCGAGGGAACCGAGGCTGAGGCTGCTCCTCTCGTGAGGACAGGCTTGGCCCCACTCGGCCTCCCAGAGGAGCGATCTCCCGTTTCTCCCCGCGTTCATTACAGTTTTGCTCCTGGTGTGTGTGGGCAGATCCAGGCTCGGGGCCCCCTGGGGGAGACCAGACCCAGGCGTTCTCCAGGGGGCCTCTCTCTCCACGGCCCGGCTGGGGTTCCGGAAGCCGGCAGGCAGATGTTTGGTGTCCACAGAGCAGGCCCCAGCTGTGGCCCTGGATGCCGAGGGCCTCCTTGGCTGACCCCGTGGGACTGGGAGGGGCACTCTCTGTGACGGGGTTCAGCCCGAGGTCGGGGAGGGGGGAGGCCGGGAAAGCACTTGTGCAGGGGTGTGGGTTTGCAGGAACCTTCTGGATCCTTCTCCCAGGGATGGGGAGATCCCCAAGACCCCCGCGCTTCAGTCTTCCAACACCCACGCGTGTTGGGGTCACTCTGGGGCTGGCTTCCTTGGGCCAAGCAGAAGGTCCCAGCTGGCTGGCTGTGTGACTGGGGAAGGTCACTCACCCTCTCTGGGCCTCAGTCACCTCATCTGTCAGGGAGCTCTGGCCAGCTGGATCATCTGTCTCCCACAGCTCGTCCTGCCCCAGGGGCCTGGACGCACACCCAGGAGGACAGCCGGCCCCTTACTCCGCCTTCCCCAGACGCGCCAGCCTGCGGACCTGAGAAGGGTGCTTCCCCTCCCTGTGCCAGCGCGTCGCACCCGTGAAGTGGGTTTGCTCATAGTGCCTGCCTCGGGGGTTATGCAAAGCTCACAGCAGGACCCTTGGCACATGGTCTACACTGAATAAATGGGAAATGCAGCCTGATGGGGAAGCCTGCCCCCGAGGGTGTTCAACAGGGGTGGCTGGGTGTGAGCCCAGGTCCCAGCTGTGCTGGGTTCCAGCCATGTGGCCTCAGTTTCTCCTCTGTGGAGTGGGGCCACAGTAACTCCTGGCTTCTGTGAGGTTATAGAAACAGGGCAGAACAGCAGGGCGGGGGTCCTAAAACCCCCTCCCTTCCCCTTCCCTCCTCCTCCCCCTCCCTCTTCTCTGCCCCCTTTCTTCTCCCCATCCCCCCTCCCCACTCGAGCCCAGACCCCTGGGGAAAATGGAGAGGGGACGTCAGCAGTGTCCTGCTCCTGCTGGGGGGGGGGCGCTGCCCAATGCAGGGGGCTTCTGAGGACAGGAGCCTCAGTGACCCCCCCCACCCCTGCAACCCACACGAGCTCCCTGGGTTGTCTTGGTCCAGGTTGAAGGGGAGTGCGAGGGACGGCCCCTGTCCCCTCCCCACTGCCCTTTCTAACAGGCAGAGACCTCTCAACACGGGTGGCTGATTCACCTGTACGGCAGGCAGGGGAGTCACGGAAGTTCCAGGTCTGCCTTAGACCTGTCGCTTCACCTCTCTGGACTTCTGTTTTCCCACCTGAGAAATGGGGGTAGTGAAATTTGCCTTTGGGAGGGCTGTTGTTACGAGTGAATGAGACAAAGTTGATTCTGGGAGGTTCTCAGGGATCCCAGGCCTCTAGCTGGGGCCCAGAGCTTCGATCAGCATAGAGGGGCATCAGAGGTGGCGGCAGTGCTGAGGGTGACCCCGTGGGGGTCCGGGTGCCGGGGGTGACAGCCTTTTCGTCTCTAAAGCCTTCTTCTGCCCAAAGCCTCTAAATGACATGCCTATTGGGGCCGACTTTAAGTTTCCCAAAGTCGAAGCCCCTCTCATTACCCTGCAGACTGAAGAGCGAGGACCACCACGCAGCCCCGGCCCCGTGGGGGGCGGTCTTGGAGCCGGCTGGCGCTCTTCTCCTGGGGGAGAGGTGGGGGTGGCATGTGTCAGGCCTGCTGCGAGTTGTGGGTGACAGCATCCACTGCCCTGCCCTCCAGATGGGGGCTGGTGTATAGGATTTGAAATCACCCACTCTCAAACGCCAGTGTGCCCAGGAATCCCCCAGAGAGTGGATTACAGTTCTGGTTGTGAGTCAGCAGACCGGGCTCTCGGGTTGGCAGGGCCCAGCGCAAAACGATGGACGGCATGCGATCCTTGTTCTCAAATTGTTTAAAAGAATCTCACGATGTCGAGAGCAGAACATTTAACTCAGCCAGGGCCCCGTGGGCCTGCACAGGTGCCATGCCCACGATTTCCAGCAAGACCCAGGTGAGGCTGCTGATCCTGGTCCCGGGTCACCCTGGGAGGAGCCGGTCTGGGGTTTCAACGACAGCCCCGGAAGTACTCAAAGTACTCAGCTGGCGTCGCTTCTGGTCCTCTGCGGTGCGCTGTGAACTCAGACCCCCAGTGTGGCCTCTCCGGGCCTCAGTCTCCCCAACTGGAAAGTGAGGGGCTCAGACGGGAGAGCCTCCAAGCTTCCCCTCCGGCACCCTGTTCCCCCATGAAGCCCCCAGATTCCAGGCTAGGATCAAATTACCAAAGTCACCTCATTCACCCTGCCTGGCTGGAAGTGATTTGGAAACAAAGCCCTCGTTCCCTCCCAGCCTACCCATTTCCCGCCTTCCCGAGCCCACCACCATGCCTGCAATTTCCTCGCCAAGCCAATGTCTCAGAATAAATAAATGGCGAAACCCTGGCAAGCAAATAAACAAGCACATCCCCGCCACACCCCAGCCAGTCCCTCCTTGCTCCAGCGGCTCTCAGAACAAGCGTCCTGGTGACAATGTCAAGACATCAGGGGCCCTGCCAGAGGAGGAGAGGGGGCTGGGGGCCTGGGGGTGCTGGAGAGGCCACTTGGAATAAGACAGAGGTCAGACCCCCGAGAAAGGACAGCCGACTTTAATCCCATAATGGAAGTCAGGGAGGATTCTGCCTTCGAAGGCTCCCAGCGGACTTTTGTCGTGGAGGCAGCACGCACTGTACACGGATAAAGTGGCTTTTAGAACTATTAGAAAGTGGGTGTGCTGGGAATGGGGAGGAGGGGGTGCCCAGGATGGGAAAATTAAAATTCCGCTCCTGCCGAAGGTTTCTGGGCTCCAGCTCGCCGCGCAAGCATCGATCTGTTCCAGCACTTGACTTTCAACCATGACAAAACTGTGGGCAAATTAATTGTTCACCAGGATATTAAGCATCAGACTCCATTAATCCTTTCTGAGCGAGATGCTTGCTGAATACTAATCGGGAGGGTTCCGGGCTGCCAGGGGTGTTTTTTCCTGCCCACCGAGGCCCCACCAGGTCCCGCCTTTCTCTGTCTCCCCTGGGTGTGGGTGCCAAGGGGTGAGCCCCCTCTCTTTCCCCCTGAACTACCTTTATTTCCCTTTGTGGCGGAGGTCAGAGCGGGGACAGGTGGGCCCAACCTGAACCGCCCCTCCCTCGCCTGGGCGTCTGCTTCCAGGGAAGCGGGGGGACCGGTAGCAAGATTGTTTTATGCAAATTCCAATATCTGTATGCAGGCACAGCGGTGAGGATGAACACAAGAAATAATTACCAAATTATGCACGTTGAGTTGGTTTTCCTGAATCCCGAGCCCTTTATAAAGAGAAAGCGAAAACACAGACACATGAATGTATAAAATGGACAAACAGCCCGTGGCGCTGGTCACCCGAGGTGAGGTGGGCTGCTGCTCTGACTGAGGGTCTCCCTGTGGACTTGGAAGGGGAGTCCAGGGCAGGAGTCAAGGGGTCCGGGCTCTAGGCTGCCACCCAATGGCAAGGAGCCTTTGAGTAAGTCACTTCCCTTCCTGGGGCCTCAGTTTCCCCATCTGCAGAAGGGGAGTAAGGCAAGGGATCTGCCAGTGCTGTGTCTTGCCATGTGGGTGGAAGTGTGATGGGGGGACACACGGAGATCTAGGTGGGGCTGACCAGCCTTGCACGGCAGGGCTCTGTGGGGACAGGGAGGACCCTGGGGACATCCCCTTGCCCTGCAGTTTCCCTTGGCTTGTTGTCAATGGCAATATCCTTCTTATTCCAATAAAGTTTCATGCTGTCAGCTCATCTCAGGTTTAAAATTGTTGTCCCATTTTAATGACTGCTGCTCAGAGACGGAGAGGCACCAAGTCAAAAATCACGTCCTGTAGGAGACAGAAAGACGAGATGACATGTCTGTACGCCCATCCTGGGACAGTTCTACACCCTTCCCACCCTGAGCTGCCTCTCCTGGTTAGCTGCGGCTGCTGCTACTTGCTTCCCTCCCACGTGGAGAGATCAGTACTGCACCGAGCAGGGTGAAGTTCTTGCCTCCTACTGTCTCAGCTCTTTCTGGGGCATCCTGAACACAGAGGATTCACCTGGGGTCAGACCCCAGTTTAGAGACTCCCAGATCGAATCACGAAAGGAAGCTAGAATCAGCTCCACCTCTGTGGCCACCGTCACCCCCAAACCTCGTGGAGCACTTTGTGTGAAGCACTTTCCGTGCATCATCCCACAGGCCTCTCACAACCACTCCATAAGGAGGTCCTATCATGATCCTGTTTTCTGGAGAAGGAAACTGAGGCTCAGAGAGGCCAAGCCACTTGCTCAAGATCACACAGCAAGTCAGTGACAGTGCTGGGGTTCAAATCTGCATCTGACTGACTTCAGAGCCCACTAACTATACTATAGATGTAGCTTATCTCCAGTGCCTCTTTCCCCCTACCCTGGGGGGTGGGGAGGCTTTCCTCGCCTCCGAACTCCCAGCGGCTCCACCACACCCCATCTCTCCCACGAAGCCTTCTCTGACTGCAGTGGGCACAAAGAAAAGCCTGCCAACCACTTGCTGACTGCACGGATATTTATGCCTGTGCAAACACCGCACAAGGCTTCTGCATGATTTGGAGCTAAATGCAGTGTGACTTAATTAATGCACACGTAACATGCGAGAATATTACACCTATTAGAACTCACAATTAACACTCCAGGGCCAGTGCTGCCACCATGTCCCATGACAAAGGCTCTGAAATCACCCCTGTGCTGAAATCAAGACCTCAGCAATACGCATCTCCCTACCCACGCTCTGTCCACTTGGCCTCTCGGCTTGGGTTTCCTCTCATCCTTTTTTATTTATTTTGGTTTTATTTGTTATTTTACTTTTTCAGCTTTATTGAGATATCATTGACACATAACATTGTGTAAGTTTAAGGGGTACAACATAATGATTTGATGTATGTATGTACTGCAAAATGATTACCACCATCAATTCAGTTAACGCATCCACCCTCACACAGTTCCAAACTTTTTCTTGCATTCCCTTCCCTTTTTCTTTTTTAACTTTTCTGTATTGACTCTCCCAGCTTAGGCAATTTGGAGTCATTACATATTAAAAATTATTACGTATAAAACTTTACGTTATACGTTATATTACATATTTTAAAATTCTGATTTGGAGGCATTTTGTGCATCAGAGTTTCTAAGCTGCCAGGGGTAATAGGTCATCAAATATTTTTAATTTCTTGCTTTCCCAAACCTGAAGAGACTAATTTTTTTCTTGTTTGATTGTTTATAAGAAAGAAAAAAGTCACCTCTTCCAGGGAGCACCCCCTGATTGTTTCAGCCCTTTTGGACACTTTTCTTCACTGATATCTTCCAACATTTAAGATGTTATAGGCTCCATGAGGGCAGGGACCCCATCTGTCCTCCCTTCACCCCCCCCAACCCCACTATATCCCAGAGGGCCTCAGCTCTCCCAGTTGTGAAATGTGGTCCAGAAAACTTTTCTACCTGTTCTTTGGGGTTGCAGGGAAGAAGGAGCAAGATGTGGGCATTATGCAAATCTGCAGCTGAGTGTGATGCAGTGTCTTCTCTGTATATCCATCTTTCCATCTGTCAAATGGGCATGCCAACACCTTCCTCGAAAGCTTGGCCTGAGTGTCGAAGGATCTGTCATCACACATAAAGAGCTGAGCCTGGTGCCCAGTGCTGGGGTAAATGACCTCATGCCTGCAGTATCGCACAAGTTAAGCATCCTCTACCCCTTCCCAAAGTATTTGTTGAGCATCGACTTTGGGCGAGGGCTATTTTGGAGGTTAAGGTAGAGTCGCTCCCTTGCTTCAGGAGATTTCCAGTCTATTTGGGGTTGATGGACACTAAATCCACAAATAAACAAATACATGGATGATCCTGGCTCACTGTATAGGTTAGAAAGAAATATCTGATGACAAGGTCACAGTGATGAGTACGGTCTCTTTCTTGGGCTGGTCAGGGAGGGCTTCCTGGAGGAGGTGCCCTTTGAGCAAAGGTCCAGAGAAGGGGAAGGAGTTGACAAGTGACAAGGAGGATGAACAGACTCAGGAGGTAGATGCCCTGCCATATCCTGCCCTCCCAACCCCCGTGAGCTGTCCAGATGGCCGCAGGAGCACGTTGGGTCTGAATGTAGGGCAGGAGAGTAGTGTGGGGAGGGACAGCCTCCCCTGGGGGGAAGCAGCCCTCACTTGAAGGCAGAGGAGGGCTGGGGTGCAAACCCCCCACCTTCCTGGCCCATTGGGTGGATGACCTGAGATGCGTGATCTACGCAGTCTCCCAGAGGCCCCAGCACACCTGAGCCCCAGGTGCCCTAAGTTGAAACCTCATTTATGCAGCCTGACTTGGCTGCCATCCCTTCGTGCCTTCCCAGTCTCATTACCCCCGTCCTCTGTGGGTGCTTCTCAGGATCTACTTCCAGATAAACTAGCCCTGGAGTGGTTAGTGCAGGGTCTGTGGCTGAAGCCTCCCATGCAAAGATCCTCAGGGGTCAGGGGGTGGCAAATGGCTCTGGGCCTCCAGCTCGGGGTACCCCTAGAACCCTCCTGAGACCCTCCCCTCCGTGGTCCCCTGGACCTTCCTGCCCAGGCCGGGGGCGGGATTAGGAGGGTCCCCAGAGCGGCAAGTCAGATCCCTCCCCAGACACTGTTTCCAAAAAGGATTAAATAAATACGTCCAGTGGGAGGGGGAGCCCCGGCTTTCACTGCCCGCTGGCGGGAAATTAAATAATGTTCATTTCTGCCGCTGTGAGCCGGAACACGGCTGGCCGAGCCGCAGGGCCCGGCCAGGAGGCAGCCGCGATTGGCAGCTCGTGGCAAGCCCTAAATCAGAGGAGCCGATGAAATTTCTAATAGCGGGAGCACGACTGGCATCGGCGTATAAATAAAGCTCCCCTCTTGAAAGGCAGCTTATTCCAGCCTTGCCGCCAAGGATATTAAGCCCGGAGGACTGGCGGCTGCGGCCAGGCTGGACCCAGGCCAGAAGCCAGCTGGGCTGGGGAGGCATGAGTCCTTCCCCGGCGCAGGTTTCGCTGCCCCCGCAGCATCGCCTGGGCTGAAGCCCCTGGGCGTGCCCAGCCCTGAGCCGGGTGGGTGCACGTTTCCAACGTGAGGGTGTTAATTTGCAGGGCAGGTTTGATCATTCCCATTGCCCAGGTGAGCAAACCAAAGCTCAGAGGAATCAGGTGTCCTGCCCAAAGTCACACAGCTAATAAAGGGTCGGTCCCTTTGTGTGGGTTGGTGGGAGAGAGGGAGGGATTCAAAGCCACAGCTCCTCACAGCTGTAAAATGGGCCCAAACCACCCTGCCCGGGTTCTGAAGCCCTGCCCAGGCTGGCCTCGCCCCACCTCTCTGTTCTGCACTCAGGCTGCTCCCTGCAGGGTTAAGCCAGCCCCATCCCTGCTCCCAGGGAGCCACAGTCCCGTGGGGTTGGGGCAGACCTGTCTACTGATAACCTTCGTGGTCTCTTCAGATTGGCTCCAGTCTACTGAGTGATTGAGTCCATGGAGTCTGGAACCAGACTGCCAGGGACTGAATCCTGTCCCCACCACACTGGCTCTGTGGTCTTGGGCAAGCTACCTAAACTCTCTGGGCTTCCTTATTTGTAGAATGGGGATAATGGTTGATGTGAGAATTGAATAAGATGATTCATGTGGAAGGCTTGGCACAGGTCTGGCGTGAGTGCCTCATAAACATGTACTTTCATTTCTCACCATTTATCCACCCCCTGTCCATCCATCCACCCACTCATCCACCCCTCCGTTCATCCACCCACCTATCTATGCATCCATCTACCCATCTATCCACTATCCATCTGTCCAACCACCCATCCATCCATCTTTTATCAATCTACCCATCCATCCACCTTTTCATCCATCTACCCATCCATTTGCTGCTGTAGCCAAAGTGCCCAGCACATAATTGACGCTGTATACAATTTAATTTCCTATAGTTAGACATGTCACTGTGTCGCCAGGTACTGCGGGCACTGGCAGGTACAGGAGAAGCATGGCAAGTGGAGGTCCCTGCCCTCACGGACACTCTGGTCTAGAAGGGCTCAGGAAGATATTGAACAAGTCTTCACAGAAATAATCGTTGTCAAAGAGGGGGTGTTCAGGGCTATGTGCGTACAACCGGAGGCCCCTGGTCCACTGCGGTTCAGAGAGGACTTCCCGTAGAAGGAGTCACCTTTCCTAGGGCCTGAGTGTGAGAGGAAGGGCCTTCCAGGCAGGGGCCCAAGCCAGGCTGATCCTGGGTTTGCTGCATTCCAGCCGCTGCGTTCCTCCCAGGACGAAGGGCTCACGCCAGCTGGGGGATGTTCAGTCCACCGGCCGAGTAGGGTGCATGTCTCAGCTCAGCAAATTCTCCCAAGAGCCCCAGGAAGGAGGAACATGGGTCTGCTTAACAGAGGAGGGAGCTGGGACTCCATGGGTTCAACACAGCTGTCAGAGAAGGAGCTGGGTTCAGACCAGGAGCACATGCTGGAATCTGGGCTCAGCCTGCCCTGCCTGGGCCATCCTGCCTGGGGAGGAGGTGGGCCGATGGCAGCGGGTGGACGGTGGCAGTGGCACCAAAGAGGGGGCAGGAGCGAGCAGAGCTTCCCCCTCTGTCCTTCTTGGGCAGAGAGTGTCCGCTCAGGCCTGGCCACTGCCGGGACAGATGCTCTGGTCCCTCTCCCCTTCTTTGTCCTTCCCCTATTGTCTCTGGATTCTGGTTCCATTTCACAATCTGACTTCACACGGCTCGGCCCTTTTGTGCAAACTGCAAAGCCCTTTTCTTTGTGATTATAATTTTTTTTTTTTTTTGAATCCAAAATCTCTTGACAGGAAAATCGGTGCTTGAGGTTGGAGAAGTCGGTTTCCTTCTCCATGCGAAAGCCATTACGGGGCTGTCCAGGACGGAGCCCACGCATGTGTGCGCACAGACGGTCCAACTCCCTTCCCTGCACCCTGGAAAAGTGTGTCCAGCTGTCAGCCTGGAGCCGGCCCGGCCGGAGGTAATGCAAACCAGGCCGCTGGGAAGCACATTCTTTAATCAGGACTCAGGTCCCCCCGGCCCTAGTCCTGCTCCTATCAGGTGCCTGCTCCTTCCTTCGGGGTGGGGGCTCCTTCATGGCTGCAGATACAGCCCAGGCGGGGGCCTGGGGGGTCCTGGGGGCGGGAGGGATGTGGGGGGAGCTTCTTGGCTGGTCCAGGCCCCTCCCAGTTGGCGCGGCCGTGGAGCTAGGGCTGGGGGGTTGGCAGAGCCGTGCTGATGCAGGTGAGGGTGAGGGGCAGAGGGCATCCTCTGAAGGTGAGTGGGGGAGGGGTGCAGGGGAGAAGAGAGGGGGTCTCGGAAGGAAAAGGGAGGACAGGGAGAGAAGGGAGGCTGAGGCAGGGACAGTGGCATGGGAAGGGAAGTGGAGAATGGAGAAAGGAAGGCGGGGGTGGGGGTGCCAAGGAGAGAGAGAGAAATGGAGGAGACAGGGAGAGATCCAGGAGGAGAAGTCAAGGATTAAATGAGGACGTGAAGACACACGGAGAGACATAAACAGAGAGAGAAGAGCAAGTAAGGGCGAGAGGCAGGAAAAGCAAAAAACGATCCCGTGCTGGATTTCCAGCAGTCTACGGGGAGGCGACTGGAATCCCTGGGCCCGGCCCCAGCCAGGCGTGGGTTTGACTCACTTCCAGGATGGGTGACCTTGGCGAGTTTCTTCCTCGGCCCAGACCTCAGTCTCCAGATCTGTAAAATGAGCCGCCGGGGCTGCGGTCCCCGAGGCTTCTCCAGGGAACGCCCAGGAGGGTGGAAACCGGGTGGGAAGAAGGGGGCGGCTGGGACCGTGCCGTAGGCATGGCCTCGTTCTCAGCCCACGAGCTGCAGGGATTTCTCGGCCCCAGAGAAACGTGTTGCAAGGCCTTTTGCGAGAAGTTTGATTTCTGTGTTTACTTTGGTCCAGATCCTGACGCCCAGCAGCTAGAGACTAGCTGCTTACAAGGCCAACAAGATTGCGTGTGTGTGCGTGTGTACATGTGTGTGTCAGTACATTCACACTCACCAGAAGGCACCTCCCTTCCCAGGCAGGACCCCACAGCACCCAGAGTCCCCCAGTGTCCCCGGGGGGCTGGGTTCTGGCCCCACTCGGGAGTCCCTCTCAGGCCCGCAAGGCTATTGCTGATGCTGACGGATGCCCAGGGTCGGCTGTGGCCCAGGCAGGCCTCCGTCATCTCCCACGGGGACCAGCAAAGAGAGAATCCAAGTCCAGGGTGGTCCTGAGGCCGAGGAGGGCAGTGAGATGATGGAAAGGGGACCCTGAGGTTGGTTGGGGCCCAAGTCACTGTCCCAGCTCTGAGCACCTTGTCCTCATCCGTGAAATGGGCTCCCAGGTCTCTCTCATGAGATGCTGTCCAGACAAGTGCAGTAAGACCAGCCTCTCTGACCCCCCATCACTGCCCGGCCCTCCTAGTGCTGTGCCTCCACCTCTGGCTGTGAGCCGGGACTGCATAGGGACCACGCCTGTCTGGCTAACCTAGTGACCCAGTGCCCATGCCTTCCAGCTGCTGTCCCCTTCCTCCCGGTCCCGCCCTGTCCAACGATCTTCCTGTCTGCCTTGACCTGGAGCCCTCAGGCCAGGGGTTTTATCCCAGCCCCTTCCCCGTCTCTCTGCGAGACCACGGAGGCAACACTTGGGCCCTCAGTTTCTCCATCTGTGAAATGGGTCTGCGTGTGCCTGTGTTGCCCACCTCTCCGGCTTGTAGGGAGGGCAAGGGAAAGGGGCGCTCTGTCTGAGGTCAGCAGGCCAGGGGGCTTGTTCTTGCCACTTGCAGGAGCACTGGATCAGGAGTCTGAGGGTTGGGGTCTGCGCTCAGATTGGCGATACAGGCGTCAGTTTTCCCATCTGTGACTAGCCCGTCTTGTGGTCTCTCCCTGCATCCAGTTCCCAGTGGTCCCTGGGCTCCTGGCTCTGGCCCCACGGCCCCGGCTGTCATTGTGTTCTCATCTCCCCACTCTGTCTGGTCTCTGCCTCTTGCCCGCCCTCCATTCATCCCTTGTCAGAGGTCACGGTGGGGGAGGGGCCTTCCCTTCCCGCCTGGTGGAGCTTTATCTGTAATCTAATGCTGGCCCCAGGGACAAGGGTCAGGGGCACTCTGGATGAAACAGGAGGCAAGCAAGGATGAGTCCTGCAAGAGGGAGCTGGGGGGAGGGGAGGTGGTGGTGGGAGGATCTGGGTCCACTCCCTCTCTGCTCTGTGAAGGCCCCTTGGGGGAGCAACTCCAGGCCCCTCTGCATCAAAGCGGGGGAGCCTTGAGCAAATCATTTATCCTCTTGAAACTTCAGTTTTCTCCTCTCACAGGAGGCAAGGATCCAATGAGCCCTAGTACTCCTTAAACAGCCAGTCTATGGGTTCTCGGCTCTAACGCTCCACCGGCCGCTCTGGTGACTGCTGAGAACACTGAGGCTCAGAGAGCTGAGGTCCAGGGCAGGGGGAGGGAGGGCGACCTGGGATTTAAAGCCAGTTTTGTGTGTCTCCAGGGCCACAAATGTACTTTCCACAGCAGACAGGTGGAAGTCAAATGTTAAAGTCCCTTCCCGCAGGTCCGGGAGGAGAGTGAGTTATCTGCCACTCACAGATAAGGGCTCTCCTCTGGGTGGCCGGACCTCCTCCTTGCGGCAGTTTGCAACTTTCCAGAGAAGGTGGCACTTGCAATATTATTTATGAGGGAGTTTTATAGAAATTACCAACATGAAAGAGGCAAGGAAGGGCATCTTTGGCAGCGGGAACAGCACACGCAAAGGCACAGATTTGTGAATCAGGACGGTGTTTGCAGAGAAGCGGGTGGCAGTTCTGTGTGCAGGAGTAAAGGATGCTTGAGGGAGTGAAGTAGGAGTACGCATCTGGGGAGGTGAGCCAGGCCAGGGTGCATTTCTGGCTCTTGATGGATAGTTTTAAGCAGATTCTCTTTTAGAAAATTCTTCCTGGGGGCGGGGCTGGATGGGTACACAATTGGCAGGGACAAGTCTGGATGGGGGAGAGTAGTTCATAGATTTGTGTTTGGACGATTAAACCAAGCATGAGAGCCAGATGTTCAGGTGAGATGAGTCCACGTCCAGAGACGTTTAAGGGTGGAGTTTGCGGCACAGCACCTGTAAGGGAGAAGGGTAATAGAGCAGGAAGAGTTGAGGGTGATGTCCAGATCTCTGTCTTGGGCAGCTGGGTGGAGGGTGGGGGCATTCCATGAAATGGGGGGAGGGTCAGTAGGCAGTTTGACGGCAAAGAAAATGAGCTTAGCTGGGCACGTGTCATGCCTTAGGAGTTTGCAAGTGTATCAGTTATCTATGACCACAATAATGATGCATAACAAACAGCCACTAGCTCAGCAGAATTCAGCGATCAACATTTATTCAGCTTGTGTGCTTCGAACTGGGCTGGGCTGATCTTATCTGGGATGGCTCAAAGTTCTAGTTGGGGCTGGCTGCCAGCTGGTCTAGGTTGGCCTCACCTGGCATGACTGGGAAACTTGGCCCAGCTCCGCATATCCCAACCTCCCACAGGCTAGCCCCAGCGTGTCCTCATGACCTTGGCAGAGATACAAAAAGCCCAATCACGCAAGCGCTTTCCAAGCCCCTGCTGGCGTCACGTTTGCTAGCATCCCATCAGCCAAAGCAAGAGGCTGAGCCCAGAATCAGAGGGGGATGGGGCTCTGGAAGTAATTTGGTCACATGGATATAGAGAGAGGGAAAGATGGTAGCCAAGAGGGGGTGTCAAATCAGCCACGTGGAGAAACCAGAGGGCGGTCATGCATCCAGGACTGGAGACGTGAGGCTGTTGACCATGGACAGTCCCTGAAGCCATGGGAGGGGAAGGGTTGCCCAAGCCAGTGGTGTGGCTGGGACAGAGCTGGACACCTGGGTGAGCCTCTCCTTTTGTGCCACCCCACAACGTTCCCAACATCCTCTGTGTCTCATGGGAGTGAAAACCTCAAGAGCTCAGATGGCCACGGAGGCGTTATGTGGCCCACAACAGTAGGTGCTCAACAAGAAAAAACAGCAGAAGGAACACAGCTGGGCAGGCCGAGGGATTAACCTCTTGTGTGCCAGCAGCTAAATGCCAATGTGGAATGACGGTGGGAAGCCCGTCAGACCCAGAGGTGTCCCCACCCTACCGAGGAAGCGCCCACCCCAGGTCTTGCTGTGAGCAAAGATGGTGGCCCATTTTCAGACCAGAACGGCATCTGACCTGAATGAGTTCACTGGTTGTCTCCAAGATTCTAGACCCTTCTGCGCTACCTCATCCCTGCCTCCTGACAGTCCCAGGGCGATGCAGCCATCGTGCTCCCCGACCCCTTCCCCTTTGCAGCTGGAGAGACTGGAGGTGCAGCCAAGCTCACAGGGGCTGCTCAACGGCAGGCCTTGGAGTCTCAACCTCAGCTCTGCCCGCCGCAGCCCCCGCCCCACTCTGGGGGGTTCCCTCCTTCATGCTGCGGCCCGGGGTCCGGGCTTCGGCGGGGGAGCGTTTAGTCAGGCGGCCTGCCTGGCTGACGACCCCCCACCGAGCCACCCAGCCCTCCCCCTCACCAAGACTGAGTCCCTCGGAGGAATTTTTTTTTTTTCCTAAAGCAAGAAACAGCAGGAAAATCTCTCTCCCGCTGCTTCTTGTATTTCCTTTATAGTTTCCTTTGTTCTATATTTAATTTTTTGTTTTAAACCCGGTTGAAGAGAGATGGGCGAATCACCGATGGTTATTGATTTATTATTTATGGCGAATCATACATCGCTTTAATCGCGTCTTCTGTGCCTTTCCTATTCTACATACTTGAAGGACAACCCAAGGAAATGGTCCGAGGCGTCAGAGGCGCCTGCTTATTTCTACACTGCAACCTGTTGGAAGAAAACTAGACACGTTTTGGGGAGTGTGCTGGCTCCTAGCTTTGCTCACAAGGGCAGAGGTGCGACCCTGGGCTGGCTGAGTCAGGGGTGACCTCTCCTTGGTGACGTGGTGGCCCTCAGGCGATGCTGAGGGATGTCCCAATGCTTCTGGCTAGTCCCGTGGCTAAACGGCCTCAACATTTGTCTTTGCTGGTTACCCTGGCCTCTTTCCTTCCAGTTTGTGTGGACACCCAGCTCCCTGCCACACCTCCGGTGACACCTATGCAAAACTGCAGGCAGCTGTCAGAATGCTAATACCAATAATAATGACCAGCAATCCACCTGGTCTGTTGGGAGTCTTTGGTTATAGAAAGTAGAAAATCCAGCTCAAAGTGGCTTAAACCAAAAAAGGAAATTCTTTGGTTTCCAGAGCTGAAAAGCATCGTGTAGATAGGCTTCAGGTCAAGTTTGATCCAGAGGCTCCCTTCATGGTGGTGGGACGCCACCTCAGCAGGCCTCATATCCTCATTCTGCACCCAAGAGGCAGGGGGTGACCTCTGGTAACCCTCACTTAAGAGAGGAAAGTCTTGTCCCAAGTCTCAGCACAATCTCCTTTCATGGCGTGACTTTCTCTGCACTGATCTCTGCATTTGGGAGAATGGAAAAAGTTGGTAGATTTAATCCAACCAGGCTCCATCCTTGGAGTAAAGGGTGGAGCCAACCCCACCTAAACAAGGCTGAGGTCAAAGTGGGAGGGAGGGGTCTCCCCAGAGGAAAACTCTGAGTGCTGTTGGTGGGACAAGGAGGCACACACAGGGACAGCTGTCGGCAAAGACCCTGCAGCCGCTAGGGCAGCTCCTGATGGTTGGCTACTCTGTGCTGGAGGGCGGAGGGCCCGGTCTTACCCTGTCCTGCTCCCTTCTCCCTGCCCTTGATGGCTCCCTACTCCTCCCACAGCCATCTCCCCACCATCTCCCTCCAAACGCCCCCGGCTGGTCCCTCTGCCTCCTCTCACCTGATGCCTTTCATTTTCTCACCTCCACACAGTTTCCGCTGCCCTTGCTCTTAGCTTTCCCATGACCTCCACCTCTCCGAAGGCGTTTCACTCCTCAGAGTCCTGCTCAGATGCCACTTCCTCTGTGCGATGCACGTGGAGAGATGCTCGCTCTGGGACTCTCCAAACACAACCCTCATCCCAGGACGTGGTCCTCACAACAGTGGGTGTTTGTCTGTCTGGTTCACTGTGGTGCCCCGTGTCTGGGATCCTGCCTGGCACAGGGGATTTACCCAAGAGATAGTGGATGAATCCGTGAGCAAATCCCTTTCTCCCCCACTGCACCATCAGCTTCAGGAGGGCAGACACTACTGGGAAAAAGGCACAGCAGAGATGTTCAAATCAACGGACTGGGTTTGAATCCTGGCCTCCCTCATCTCTTAGCTATGGGACCCTGAGCAAAATACCCTCTCTGAACCATTCTTTCTAGATATGCAAAATGGCAATAATTAGACTTCTCTGGACAACCGCATAAGACCTGGTCCACCCTGGCACAGCCCTGGTGAGACTGAAGGAAAGGAGCCAAGGGCCAAGGGCACCTTACCTGGAACAAAGGAAGAAGTTTCTGATGCAGGGTGTGCATCTTTTAGAACCAACAGGGCCATGGACACCCCCTTGCCAGGATTGGTTTGCACATGTAATGAAGAAAACAGTGTTGAAATATGGTGATTACAGGCAGCCAATCAATTAGCCCGTGTTCAGGAATCTGATCATAGCAGTCAATCGGTGATTGCCAATCTGCATATTTAGTCAGTATCATTAATTATGCATCATGCGGCATTAACCCCCATCACATGCATGTGTGCGTGCTGTGGAACAAGGCTTCGGGTCCTGTCTAGGGGAGGATGCTTGAGGAAGCTGCTGGCATGGTGTGTGTTTTGGGGTGGGGGGCACCTCTCACGTGGTGGCAGCCAGTTGGCATGGAGACAGATTGAGTGCTGTCTGCACTGGCCACAGAAACTGGGCAGAGTCTGGCTTTTTATTTAAATCTGGGATTGCAAACTGGTGGATGGCAGGACTGATCCAGCCCACTGATGAGTTTTACTTGACTTGGACAATAGTGGGAAAAAAAGGATATAATGCCTTTAGTGTGGGCCTGCCAGTTTGCCATAGTCCCCACTCCTCCTTATTGCCTCATATGCCACCTGCTTTACTCCTTAAGTTTCCTGCCTGGCCCCTGTGGGCATTTGAATTGGAAACGAAGAGATCAGGGGTTCCTCATTTTAAAAATGATTGTCCCCCTACGGAATCGTTTTAGACATTCCCTTCTACTTGTCCCTTCTCCCCATAGTGACATTTTAATACCACAGATACATTGGATATCTGTTTATGTTCTGTATGTATATCTGTAGGATTTTTCGTCCCCCAAGGAACAAAATTCATCCTTGTTGAGAATGCATCCTCTAAGTTACAAGGTTTCTGCCTGTCTCTCTGGTGGTTCCCATGGTGGGGTAGGGAGGGGGTTGGCAATGAGGTGCTTTGATCTGTATAATGATTTAATCTGTATAGATGACCCTCCATATTGGCTGCAAGGCTCTCCTTACTGCTCCTACACTAGCTCCAGGAGGTCCAGATTCCACTTACGTGGCCATATTGTCCTCCACCCCAAGAGCACTAAATACTCAAGACTTGGGTCAAACATCCCCTCCTCCAGAGTCTGGCGAGTTAAAACAATTGTACATGAGTATTTTCGTGTCAGAGAGGGAAGCCTCTTGGGGAGTTGCAATTTCTCAACTTGTATTTTGCAGATGAGTAAATGAAAAGGGACTTGCTCCAGCTTGCACAGCAAATCAGGAAGAGGTAATCACTATGACTAGATTTTAAGGCCAATACTTTCCATCCACCCCATTTGCTCCCTAAGGCAGGTTTGTCCACCCTTGCATCATCTGGGCCTGGCAAAGAGGCAGTGCTTGTGGAGGTTCACAATGCACAGCAACACATTCAGACATTAAAGGCTCTGACAAGTCCTGCAGGAAAACAAACAATTTTAGTTTTGTAGCTTTTACAAAATTAATAAATTTAATAATGTAGCTTTCCTTGTGTTTGATCACAGACTGGAAAACTTCTAGGTGCCATGTACTAGATTAAACTATTTATAATTTTAAAATAGCCCCAAACTGAAAATGACCCAAAGCCATCAATAGTGAAACAGATAAAGAAATTCTGCTATGGTCACACAATGGAATATCCCACAGCAGAGGAAGATGAATGAACTATAGCTCCTCGCCACAACATGGGTGAATTTCACCGTACAATGTTGAGGGGAAGAAGTTAGACACAAAATAATAATGATGGAGTAATTATTAGGAGTAATAATGATTACTCCTATGATTCCATTTATACAAAATCCAGAAATTGGCAAAATGAAACCATGTTGTTTTCAGGTCTAAAGAAAACCCAGGAAAATGATGATCATCAAATTCAGGAGGGTAATGAAATCTCCTGGGGTGGGGGGGCGGGAGGGGAGAGAGAGGCGTGGAGGAGGCACCGGCAGGTGCTTCTGAGATTTTGTTTCTTGTCTGGGGCTTACCTGGGTGTTTGCTTGATAATCATTAAATTGTGCAGAACTAGATTTTCTGCGCTTTGCTGTATGTGAGTTTTGTTTTGCGATCGAGAGACTGAAACAGCTTGTGCTGGCTTTGGCTCTAGGGGCAGGAATGGAGGCTGGGAGGCCACAGAAGTTGCTGCTACAGCCACCCAGCCATAAGACGATGGTGGCCTGGACTGTGGGAGGGACAACTGGGACAGAGAGGAGCAGCGGGATCCCAAAGGGACTTAGCAGATAATTTGGTGACCCCCCAGTGTGCTCACTGATGCATTTGGCTCCAGCTTTTAACCACACCCCCAGGACCTCATCACCATAGTCCTTGGTCATGAGCACCAGGAGGCCAGATGGGCCTCATCAGAGAGAGGATGTGGAGAGCCTTGGAGAACCCCATGGACAGGCAGCCAGGAAAAGAGACAGGGGATCTGAGTGTGAAAAGAGAGTGGGGAAGAGGCCATTCCTCAAAGCTGTCAGCAGGGGGGCCCCAGACACCCCGCATTCCATTAGCCGCTTCTCAAGATCGTTTCATTGGCCAATGTGCCCAGGTGGGGTGGCAGGCCGGCCAGGGTGACCTCTGCAGATGTGACCGGAGAGACAGGACATCATCCGTGGAGAGACCAAACCCCGGCCCCCAGGCCCCTGCCCAGTCTGCACCTTCTAGCGCCTTCTCTCCCGCCTCCTGGGGACAGCCACCGTGTTTTCCGTCTGGCCGGCCATGCCTGGCTGTGCTCGGGAACACAGGCCCCTTCAGAGGTGCCCCCCAAGCCGGCCGAGCTGTCCGAGCCCTGACAAAGTCTTGAGGGAAGCGGGCGTCGCAGCCCCAGCTGTGTAAATGTTTTTGGTTTTCCTGCTGAGGCTGGGGGTTGAGCCGGTGCCAAGACAAGCCTCGCTTGAGTTTTCTTTGGCAAGGCGGCCCAGCTCAGGAATGTCAGGAGAACTTTCCAAATGGGATGGTTTGTCAGTGGGACCTCAGGCTGAAAGCTGAGCCCTGGGTACACTCTGCCGTCATCTCATTACTGTGTCCCCAATTAGAGTCAAGAGCTGGGCCCTGGCCTGGTCAGATGGGAGCGATTTTCTCCACTCACCCTCCTCTTCCCGGGAGGGGCCAAGGCCATTCTGGAGGCTCTCGGGGCTCATCAAGTGAGCGTGGTTGGAGGGTGGCTCTCACCATCCAGAGAGTGGTGGAGTTTCTGGTGGGAGGAGGCGAGGGTGTGAGGGCCATCCGGGCCCAGGATGTGAAGTTGGGAGAAGAGCCCATGGAGTCTCTGCGAGGTAGATTTTTTCTCTCCTTGTTGAACTCCACTTGGTTAACTGTGACTTGGACCTTCCTCAGTACACCTCACAGAAGAGAAAAATCTAGCGCAGGGCTTCCAAAGGCAAACTCCTCCCCGGAGGCAGGCGGATTACCTAAATGAGTGAAGCTGGCCAGGAGTGAGGCAATACGGAGGGGTGGGGACTGGGGCAGACTGGGGAGCTCACGCCTCATCTCCAAGGGTGGAGACTTCTCAGCTCACAGCTGACCTTGGCTCTGGGTGAATGTGATTCTGATGTGGCCCAAACTTCTGAAGTTCCAAGAGAGACCAAAAAAAAAAAAATCTGTGTTTTATGTGAAATCCCTCCATCTTGAAATGTTGGCAACTAATTCAATTAGGGAAAAAAATTATTTTTGACAAAGCGCCACGTTCACAAAACAAAACACACCTGGGAGCCGGATGAGGCCACCAGACCACGCATGTGTGTGACGCTGGGCTCTAACTTCCTGACCCGTGACTGCGAGCTGAGGGGACAGGGGGGCGACAGTGACATCAGTCACAACAGCAATGACATAGCTCCGTCTGTGCCCTGGGCTGACCCAGGCATGGTGCTGTGCCCTCTGCCCAGGCTGAGCTTCGGTTCTCACGTCAGTCTGTTGGGCAAATATCATCACGCCCACTTTACAGATGGGAAGACTAACATCTCCAGGAAGGGCTGCAATGGGGTCAGGGTCACGCGATTCATAAGTGGCAGAGCAAGGACTTGATCCCGGGTCTGTCTGTCCCAGCCCTGGGCTGAAGTCATGAGATTGGCTTTTTAGCTCCGATGCTCACCACTATTATCAACGTACATCTACCCCCGTGAGCAGACCGTGGAGGGGGTGAGGGGTGTGGCGGACGCTGTAGAAGTATGAGGAATACGTAGCCTCTTTTATTTTTTAATTGAAGTTTAGTTGATTTACAATACTGTGTTTGTTTCATGGTGCGGCAAAGTGATTCAGTTACACACATATATATTCTTTTTCAGATTCTTGTCCATTATAGGTTATTACAAGATACTGAATATAGTTCCCTGTGCTATATAGTAGGTCTTTGTTATTTATTTTGTATATAGTAGTGTGTATCTGTTAATCCCATACTCCTAATTTATTCCTCCCACCACCTTTCCCCTTTGGTAGCCATAGTTTGTTTTCTATATCTGGGAGCCTGCTTCTGTTTTGTAAATAAGTTCATTTGTATTATTTTTTTTTTATTCCACATATAACTGACATCGTATGATATTTTTCTTTCTTTGTCTGACTTCACTTAGTATGATAATTTCTAGGTCCATCCATGTTACTGCAAATGGCATTATTTCATTGTTTGTTATTAGTCTCTTGAAAATGCCCAGCCTTGTGGGTCTCAGCTAGATGCTACCATTGACTCCATGACTCTAGAATTGACTTTCTCAACTCCAATCTGTGAAACGGGTACAGTATGGACCCAGTCAGAGTCACTAGGCACAGAAGTTCAGACCGAGGTGGTAAAGCCCTAGGTGGTGAATGCTAGGAGGAGGCCTTGACCATCTTGGTCCCCCCAGGGGCAACAGTGATGCTCGTGAAGGTGCCTAGCCAATTTGGGAGAAGACAGCCAGTCCTGTAGTATTGAGGCAAAGTCAGGGTGCAAGGATGACACCAGCTGAGGCTCTGAGTCCTACTCTGTGGGGTGAGGGGAGTCTGGACAAAGGTCCTTAGGGCAACCTGACATTTACAATTTGCAAAGCACTTTACAGTTTGCAAAGCCAGACTGTAAATCCAGCTCTCCCTGCTCTCAAGCATTCACTGGCTCCCCATTGCCTCTTA